AAAAAAAAAAAAAGAATAATAATGATATTCAGCAAATTCACGTAAACATGAGTGAATATATAAGAAAAGCAAATGTTATCATGAAGTCTTACACACTTAGATAAACCTTTAAAACAGTTTCATATTCTTTGTGAAATAGAAGTGAAGAGTAAACTGTGGAGATAACTATCAAGTATTTGATTTAAACATTTTGAGGAATAGTTAATGATAAAGAAATGACATAAATTAAAAAATTTCATGTAAAAGCAATTACAGGAAACCTTCAAATTGCAAATACAGCTGGGAAAATGGAATTGGAATTATGTTTTAGGCTATATGGTAGCCTGGTACTAGTAGCTCACACTATAATCCTAGCTATTCAGGAAGCTGAAATCTGAAGATCATGGTTTGAAGCTAGCATAGACAGGAAAGTCTGTTGAGAGTTTTTTTGTTTTGTTTTGTTTTGTTTTTTTCTTTTTGGTCAGTCATGCGGCCTGAAATTTGGGCCTGGGAGCTGTCCCTCAGCTCTTCAGCTCAAGGTGAGTGCTCTGCCACTTGAGCCACAGCACCACTTCTGGTTTTCTGGTGGTTAATTGGAGATAAGAGTCTCATGGACTTTCCTGCCGAGGCTGGCTTTGAACTGTGCTCCTCAGATCTCAGCCTCGTGAGTAGCTAGGATTACAGGAATACACCACCAGTGTCTAGCTGTGAGATTCTTATCCCCATTTAACCACTAGAAACATGGAAATAGAGCTGTGGCTCAAGTGGTAAAGCTACCAGCATTGAGTGAAAAAGCTAAGGGAGAAAGCTCAGGCCCCAAATTCAAGTTCCAGTATTTACACACACACACACACACACACACACACACACACACACACAAATGAACATTAACCAGTTCCAACACAATTGTTAAATCACAGATTATAAGATTCTAATCACAGGATCATGCCTATGATTGCTGAAGCAATTAGCTCACAAGTTCAAAGCCAGAATACATAGCCTCTGTCACAAAAATGAATGAATGACATGTTATGGAGATATTTTTACATCAATCCATTAAAATATGCCTTTTAAAAATTGTTTTTAAAGTTTAATCATGTACTATAAAAACCATAGTTCATTTAGCTCATCTTATTAATTAGTATTTAGATGATTTCCAGTTTTCTTACTTGTTTTAGCTCTTGTTTTGATACAGTATTGTACTGTGTAGCTTAAACTGCCCTGGAACTCACTATGCAAACCCCAGGCTGGCTTTGAATTAGAGATCCTTTAGGTTAGTGCCACTATGCTTGGCTTCTTTTTTTTTTCTGAGTTATATAGCCCAGGCTGGCCTCAAACCCACAGAACTACAGGCTCTGCCTTTTGAATGCCTGGATTATAAGTGTGTTCTATCACATCTAGTCTTAGACTATCTGTTTCTATTATTCTGCTGATAGAAAGAAGGAATGCATATAAAGAAGAGAGAGGCATAAATTTCTGATCCTGAAGCATCCTCAGGGACAGCCTGAGGAGATTCTAGCCTTCTGTGTCTGTTGCTTGACAATGATAAATGTGTCTCCCAAAGCCCTGACCACATCGGGAGATTCACAGACCTCAGAGACAGGAGGCTGAGCCCTTCCAAAGATAGCACGGACAGACCCCACACACATCCTGCCGAAACTAGTGAACAGGCAAAGAATAGCTCAGCAGGTCCTCCTCATTTTCTTAGTGGCAGCAGGATTGAGTCATTGGTCTTCTCATACCCAAGTAGTCTTGGGAAGGGCGGACAGCAGTACTCTGTGCTCAGGAAAGGCAACATATAAAGCCTGCCTCTGCTGAGAGGGGCCCAAGGCCCCTGGGTTCTTTGATGAGGGTAATTTCTTGGCTCCTCTTTCAGGCTGTTCAGCAAGGAACCATCAAGTGCAACTTTTCTGGAGTTGCTCTAGGCGATTCCTGGATTTCCCCTGTTGGTGAGTATGGAGTTTATAGGCATTTCTTTCTTCTCAGCCTTTCCTGGGACCTTGGACTTTGATGTCTAAATCAAAGAACAGGACTTTAGAGAAACCTGGATCCTTGAGGTTAGCACAGCTGAGCATCTAGGAAATATGGGAAATGAAAACTCACAGAACAACCACTTCAGAGCAGAGACTCTTTATTCTCCTAACAAAGCAATCACATGTTACAGTTGGATGTGATCCAACAACTCAGAGAGGTGATGAAATCTATCCCCTTACTGCACAGGTGGCATATAGAGAGGCAAACTTCCATCTATGTGATGGAAGACCAATGTTGTTAGTTTATTCTCTCTCTCTGGCACCCTGGTATGGACTAGAACATTGGGAATGAAATTTTTACCTGTGGCTCTTGGTAATGGTGAGATAGTATTACCAGCAGGCCTTATACGCACAAGGTTCTGAGTTCAAGCCCAGCGTAGCTTGTTATCCTAGCTACACAGGAAACTGAGAACTGAGGATCATGGTTCAAAGTCATCCCAGACAAACAAATCTGAGAGACTATCTCCAGTCATCCCCCAAAAGCTGGATGTGAAGGTGTGGCTTAAGTGGTAGAGCACCAGTCTTGAGTAAAAAAGCTAAGTGACAGTGCTTAGGCCCTGAATTCAATCCCTATTACCACACATACACACACAGAGAAAGAAAAGAAAAAGAAAGAAGGAAAAAGAAATGTGCTCTATTTTGTATAACCCTTATGTTTAGTCAACGAATCATTTTTTTTCCTTTTACCTACATTAAGATGCTGTAGCACTGAGATTGGAGTTATTTAGCCCTAGGGTATCATCAAAGGCCTTTAAGCAAAGAGTGGCTTACTGAAGTGATTTTCTAGGCTGAGGTCCTTGATATTTGTTGGCACATCACAGTGGCACTTATCTGAGAGATATGGCTGTGAACTGGCTTTGGCCAGTTCTCTTTGAGAGCAGCCGTTGTCTCTTTTGTATCAATGTCTTCTCCAGCTGTTTGCTGCTCAGAATAGGAATGAGCCAGTGGGCAGAGCAGACACTGACACTTGGGTTACAAGGGTATTAGTCTTCTGCTTTAATTAGCACCTCAACAGTAGCTAGAGTCTCCGTGCTGGAGCAGCACACAGGATGCCAAACTGCAATGGAGGGTGGGGAAATACTTTAAGCTGTCTGCAGGTCCCAGCCTCTACCGGTACACCCACTTCCTGCCTAAGGGTTGATCACTGGCCCAGAAGCACTCACTGGGTCGTGTCCAGCTAGATCAATATGCCATTGGCTCTTAGTCAGCAGAAAGGTCCTCACCCTCTCCCTGCCTTCCCACCACCAAGAGCCGTCCATCTCCTGCTTGGGTGCCAGGGAGCTAGGGTGCTCTAGAGCTGTCAAAGCCAAAGCCCCTAGGGTTTATCTCCTGTTTCTTTCTACTTTGGAGGGAAGCAATTGAGGTGGTTCTCCAGAGAGACAGAGCTAGGACATACCTAATGAGTAACTATGTGTGTGGTTTTTCTTTTAGATTCGGTGATGTCCTGGGGACCTTACCTGTACAGCATGGTAAGAATGTGGGTCCTTGTCTCAGCACTCTGTTTAGTAAACAGCCCCTGAATGTCCCCAGAAGGCGAAGCTTGATGGGTCTGCATCCATAGTTGATACTACATCTGGAATAGATTAACCCAAATCCAACTGGACACCCTAAGCAACAGCTAGCCTTGGGGATGTCTAAAGAAAATCAACATACTTCACATTTCTAGGTCTAATAAACATAATTTATTATCTTTAAATTCCCCAACTTTATTATTTTAATTTTAATGACGTTAGTCAAACTTATAATGATTTGGCTGGGTGTTAGCAGCTCACATCTGTAATCCTAGCTGCTCTGAAGGCTCAGATCTGAGGATCACGGTTTAAAGCCAGCCAGGGCAAAAAAGTCCATTAGGCTGGGAATGTGGCTTAGTGGTAGAGTGCTTGCCTAGCACTCATGAAGCCTTAGGTTCGATTCCACGTAAACAGAAAAAGCTGGGAGTGGTTCTGTGGCTCAAGTGGTAGAGTGCTAGCTTTGAGTAAAAAGAAGCTTGGGGACAGTGCCCAGGCCCTGAGTTCAAGCCCTAAAACTGGCAAAAAAAAAGAAAAAGAAAAAATTCCATGAGACTCTTATTTCCCATTAGCTACAAAAAACAAAACAAAAACAAAACAGTGCTATCCTTGAGAAAAAAAAAAAAAAAGCTCAGGGACAGCACCCAGGCCAAGATCAAACCCCAGGACCAGCACAAAAATTAAAAATTTCCGAAGTTGAGAGAGTATGGGTGAGCACCCTCTACCCACTGTCTTGATTCAGTTAACATTCCACTGTTTCCTCCATCAGAAAGTTTGTGGTTTGAGGGGCTGAGAAGTTGGCTCAGTGGTAGAGTGCTTGCCTTGCATGCCTGAGGCCCTGGGTTCGATTCCTCAGCACCATGTAAGCAAAAAGAAAAAAAGCCGGAAGTGGCGCTGTGGCTCAAGTGGTAGAGCGCTAGCCTTGAGCTGAAGAGCTTAGGGATAGCACCCAGGCCCAGAGTTCAGGCCCCACGACTGGACCCAAAAAAAAAAAAACAAACATAGAAAGTTTGTGGTTTGAGGTTGTAGCTCCATGGTAGAGTACTTGTCTAGAATTCACAAAGTGTCAGGCTTAAATGTTGATGCCACTGTAGGACTTGTAACATACCTTTTCGTGTGACTGCTTTGTCCCCCCCCCCCCCCCCCCCCCCCCCCCCCCCCTGTGCTCTTTTTCCTGCCCGTCCTGGTTACAACAGAATCAGGTCTATGACTGCTAGTGAAGTGGATCTTTTTGTTCTTTTTTTTTTTTGTCAGTCATGGGGCTTAAGCTCTGGGCCTGGACACTGTCCCTAAACTCTTCAGTTCAAGGAAAGCACTCTACCACTTGAGTCACTTTCAGTTTTCTGGTGGTTAGTTGGAGTTAAGTCTCATGGATTTTTCCTGCTCTGGCTGGCTTGGAACCATAATCCTCAGATCTCAGCTTCCTGAATAGCTAGGATTAGAGGCCTGAGCCACTGGCGCCTGGCTGACACTTTTTGTTCTTGATTTATGTTCCAGTCTCTTCTCGATGACAAAGGCTTGGCGGAGGTATCTAACGTTGCAGAGCGAGTCCTGGATGCTATAAATAAGGAGCAGTACAAGGAGGCCACCCAGCTGTGGGAGGAGGCTGAAATGGTCATTGAGAAGGTAAAGAGAGCCATGCTCACGGCTAGCATGACTCAGCTTTTTCCATGAGTACCAGGGCTGTGGGGGGTGTTCCCAAGATCAGAGTCCATCCCAGGTCTTGCCACAAATGATTATATGTGAAATACTAAGTCCAGTGGCTCTGGGCAGTGATTTGGTAGTCCTTAAAAGGTCAGAAAGCCACACAAAGCCTGCAAGACTTGCTTGACCTTGCCTGAATGTTGGACTCTGTTAGAAAGGAAGGCTATGTCTTGAAGAGGCACATGTAGCCAGGTACTGTGGCTCACTCCTGTAATCTTAGCTATTCAGGAAGCTGACATCTAAGGATCTTGAGCAGGAAAGGCCATAAGGCTCTTATCTCCAATTAACTACCAGAAAACTGGAAGTAGAACTGTGGCTCAAAATGGTAGAGTGCTAGCCTTGAGCAAAAAAGGTCTGGGACAGTACCCAAGCCCTGAGCTCAAGCCCTATGACAAAAAAAAAAAAGAGGTGCATGTATAGTTTGGAGACAGTTTATGTTCTAATTTGGATCCTTGCCTAGCAGTATTTTTTTTCCCCAGTCCTGGGGCTTGAACTCAGGGCCTGGGCACTCTCCGTGGGCTTCTTTTGTTCAAGGCTAGCACTCTACCACTTGAGCCATAGTGCCACTTCCGGCTTTTTCTGTTTATGTGGTACTAAGGAATCAAACCCAGAGCCTCATACATACTAGGCAAGCTCTCTACCACTGAGCCACATTCCTAGCCCAGACTAGCAGTATTCTGACTCCCACTGGCTAAGGCCCCTCCACAGTTCTGTAATCTGCATACATTGATTGACACTTGGGCCCTTGATTATCTGCAGTGTCTGAGCTCTGCCCCCGTAAGCTGTGTGCCACCCAGGGAAATGTGGGCTGACACAGCTGCTGCCTGAGCCTTTCGAGCTGCTTTCTGTCTGGTCCAAGTAAATTTATAAACTTAAAGCCATCCTCAAGAGAGCCTCATGCCTTTCTGTTTTGCAACTTTGACGATAGATACAGAAAGGAAACAACCGAATGTCCTTCTATATTTCAGAACACAGATGGGGTAAACTTCTATAACATCTTAACTAAAAGCACACCCACGTCTGCTATGGAATCAGGCCTAGAATTCCTGCGAAGCCACTTAGGTAAGTCAGCCTGACGTTCTTAGCCCCGCCTTAGCCTCCATGCAAGAAGGAACTGTCTTTTTAAAAAGCTTCATTAACATATTATTTGCATAACAGGAAAGTCACCCACTTTCAGGGCCTGATTCTGTATTGTTAAGTATATTCAGGGATTGGTGCACTCATCACCAGCACAATCCAGTTTTAGAACATTTCCATCACTCGCAGAAAGATCCCCCACATCTGTTTGCAGTCAGTTCTCATTCCCACCCCCAGCTCCAGGCAGCTACGAATCTTCTTTCTGCCTCTCCTTTTGCCTCCTTTTCTGAACACAGTGTCAGCCTTCTGCAGCTGGCTCCTGTTACTTAGCATAATGATTTTTGAAACTTAGGGACCAAGTTTGTTTTGTTCTGTTTTGCGCTAGGGGGGACTAAATCCAGGATCTAGCACATGCCAAACACTAATTATATCACTGAGCTGTACTCCAGCCCCAAGGGAACCAACTTTTCTGTACCCTGAATTACAATATTTGTTCTCTGAAGGGCTGATTTTAGTGGGTTTTCAGCTGACCCAGCTTGGTTTTGGATGCAGAGTGTCTAGAAACCTCCATTTGTAAGAAGTGTTGATGCCCCTGAATTCCTCTTCTCAGCCGATTTCCTTTGTGCATTCTGGAGAATCCAGTGGCCCCAAAGTGCGTGTGGTTCAGCAGTCAGTACTGCTAGGTCCACCCCACTTTCAACCCACTTCTGCTCTCTTCCTCCACCAAGATGGGCCAAGGGGCTGCCTTTCTTTTTCTAGCTGCAAGCCCAGCATTCCCAGCCGTTTGGGAAAGATGTCCCTAGGGTCCTGTTGCCTGTACGTTTACTCACTGTGTACCAGTTTGGTTTCAGTTCGGCTTTGTCAACGCCACGTGAGACACCTAGAAGGAGATACCTTAAGTCAGCTCATGAACGGTCCCATCAGAAAGAAGCTTAAAATCATTCCTGAGGACATCTCCTGGGGAGGTATGTATGTGACCTAATTAAGCGCCGTTTGAGTTGGGAGGTTGGGGAAAGGTATAAATTGAGAGGCTTTACTTCAGCAGTACTGGTGTTTGAACTCAGAGCTAGACAGATGCTGTACTATGGAACTATACGACTATACATCTAGCCAGAGGCCTTAGTTTGTGCAGTAGGCTTTTGTTGGTAGTGATGAGATGTTGCAAGTTAAACAATATTGCTGTCTAGGTTTATAGATGAACCAGCAGATGTAGAGATACAGTCAATTGATTCAAAATAAGGGGCTGGTAGGGAAGTGGGTGGGAAGAGAAAAGCACATGGTTGGCTATGAGTCAGTAATTGTTGAAGTGTGATATGTGTAGCTGGGGATCATTATCCTCCTTAACTTTAGATCAGTTTGAAATTTTCCATAATAAGAATGAAGATAATAGCTGGGTGTGGTGAGGCACTTCTGTAATCTCAGCATTTGGGAGGCTGAAACAGGAGGATGAAAAGTTTGAGACCAGCCAGGGCAATTTAGCAAGACCCTGACAATAAGTGTATCTAAGATTTAAAAAAAAAAAAAAAGCCTCCTTATGACCATAGCTGGACAAGATTACCAGCCAAAGGCCCTTTGACAGATGTCAAAAATAGCACATGCTTTTTGGACCACCTCTCTTACTGGCCTCTCAATTATCTTATCACTGGATATGGTCTGCCACGTACTGCATTCTAGTCCTGAAGGTCATCATGGAGAACTAACAGAGTCACGGCCAAGTAGAAAACTTGGCTGAGTTCCTACCAGTCCTGTTGGGAATCCTTGAGCAAGCCTGACCCCCTTGGCAGCTGCTGCAAAAGCTAGGATTTGACCCTGGTCCTAGTTTCCTCAGAAATCATGGGTCACGTTATCCCAACCTGTAATCACCAGAGAGCTCATCCTAGACCCACATCCTCCTATCCCTGGACTCAAGCAAAGGCTCCATTGTGAAAAGCTGCAAGGAATGGGTAAAGCTGTTCTACTAGTTAAGGCGCCTTATCATGATGAACAAATGGGTGGGTGCTTATAAAGTGCTTACCAGAAGCAGGCAAGTTAATGGTAGGTATTGGTTGGTGTTCCTGCTGTCATCCAACACCATGGTGATGCCCCGGTCAAGCATCCAACACCATGGTGATGCCCCGGTCAAGAATCCAGCAAGAATGCTGCCCTGGCTGTGCCTCTGTTGACCAGGGTTTGTCCCCATTTGGCTTTCCTGAGGGCTAGCCATGAATTGGTTTGGTTCTGGTTTGGTTTATTATAACCTTGTTCCAAACTTTAGATATAGCCCTCCCAAAAGAAAGTCTAGGCCAGGCACTGGTGGTTCATGCCTATAATCCTAACTACTGAGGCGAGGAGGCTCAGATCTGAGGATCATGGTTTGAAGCCAGTCTGAGTAGGAAAGTCCATGAGCTCTATAATTTCCAATAAACTACTCAGAAAAAGCCAAAAGTGGTGCTGGCTCCAGTGGTAGAATACTAGCATTGATTGAGCACAAAGAGGCTCAGGGACAGCGCCCAAGCCCTGAGTTCAAGTTCCAGCACTGGCAAACAAAAGGAAATCTAACATTAATCCAAAACATAATTTATTCTTGAGTGGTCAGGCTTTAAAAAAAAAAAAAAGTATTTCTTGGGCTTTTGCCTCCTGTTTCCCTGGAATGCATCTGCAGGATTCAGCTCCATGTTGCAAATGGCATCTGCCACCACAAGCTCCTGAGTTAAATGTGTCAGGTAGATGTCCCTTTGCCTAGCCATTACTGGGCTAGTCAGTCCCTGTCTGTGAAACCCTTGTCTTTCAGCCTGTGTTAGATGCTACACACGGTGACTTCAAGGTGCCAGTGCATGGAAAGGTACCTCTTGTTCTGACAAATTCCAAGCTGCTGCTTCTTTCTCTCCCCTGCTGCAGCCCAGTCTCCTAAAGTATTCATGAACATGGAAGAGGACTTCATGAAGCCAGTTGTCAGCATTGTGGACGAGTTGCTGGAAGCTGGGGTCAATGTGACCGTGTATAATGGGCAGCTTGATCTCATTGTGGACACCATGGGTAGGAGCCAACTCTGACAGACATGTGGACACCATTGATAGACTGAGCTAGAAGGGCACTGGACCCGCACACATACATCTTGAAGTTGGCGACATTAATGCCAGGAGGAGGGTTGTTTCCATGCCATCCTTGATCTTCAGAGAGAGGAAGCTGTATTAGCTGTGACCTGTCAGAGAGGTTTGAGTCCCTCCAGAATCTGGGGCTCTTTAAAAGACAGCTGGGTGCCAGTGGCTCACACCTATATTCCTGACTACTCAGGAGGCTAAAATCTGAGGATTGCAGTTCAAAGCCAGCCTGGGCTAGAAAGTCTGCGAGACTCAAAAAGCCAGAAATGGAACTGTGGGTCAAGTGGTAGAGTACCACTCAAGCATAAAAGCTCAGGGACAGTGCCCAGATCCTGACTTCAAGTCCCAGGACAAAGAAAGAAAGAGAAGGAAGGGAGGGAGGGAGGGAGGAAAGGCAGGGAAGGAGGAAGGAAAGGGAAGGGAAGGGAAGGATAGTGCCTCCTCCATTGCAAAAGTTTTAAAAGAAGACAGATGTTTTCCTGGCTATTGAGCAAATGCACTACTAAGGGGAAACCTTATTTCATATCAGAGCAGAGGATAAGTATTTCAGAGTGGATTAAAACTAACCCTTAGTGAGCTGGGAAGGTAGCTCAGTGGTAGAGTACTTGCCTTACATACATGAGGCTCTGGGTTCGATTCCTCAGCATCACATACGCAGGAAGTGGTGCTGTAGCTCAAGTGGTAGAACACTAGCCTTGGGCTGAAGAACTGAGGGGCAGTGCCCGGACCCAGAGTTCAAGCCCCACAACTGACCAAAAAGTAATAATAAAAATAAGAATAACCCTGAGCAACTCTCCAGCACAGGGAAAATGGTCTGGACAGGACCCAAAGCACCATGCAGTTGCCTCACAGTCACTCCTGTGCCCAGCCCTGGTTCCATAGAGCCTGGTGGAGGCCTAGAGACCAGTTCTTAGACCCATGAGTACAACAGGCAGGTGACTACAGTGTGATACACTTCACAACACCAGCAGATTAAATGTTTTCAGGCACCAAAGTCAGCTTGTTTGTCCTGACAGTCCATCAGCCTCCAGAGGTCCACATGCTCCTTCCTGAAGAACACATAGCAGCAGAAGAGTCAGAGGCCAAACTAACCCCCTCACAGTCATTAATTTTCTTAATTGGCCAACTGCACATGCTCAGTTACCCACCCCCGAACTACTGCATCAGAATTTGCATGTTAACAACATCCCAGGTTTTGTGCCCATTACAGTATAGGACCTCTATTGAGGTTTGCTGTTGTTGTTGTTGTTTGTTTTTCCTCCACCCAAGCTATTAATGCTGGACCCTTCTCTCTGTCCCTCTCACCAGGTCAGGAGGCCTGGCTGCGGAAGCTAACGTGGCCAGGGTTATCCAAATTCAGCCAGCTGAAGTGGAAGGCCCTCTACAGCAACCCTAAATCCTTAGAAACGTCTGCGTTTGTGAAGGCCTACAAGAATCTGGCTTTCTACTGGATTCTAAGAGCTGGTCATATGGTAAGAGAGTCACCTTCCACTCCAGACTTAGGGTTGTCATACTCAACGGAGAGCCACAGGCCATCTATCCCACATCTGTGGTCAGCCTGAGGATTGCTTCAGATTTGGGAGGGTTTTGAGTTCTCCAGTAAAATTATACTACAGGTTGAACATGGTCCAAATACCTGAAGCCCAAAATACTGTCAAATTGAAAATGCTTTCAGTGCTAACATGACATCATAAGTAGGAAAATCCTGGTCTCATGTGATTTAATGTAGTAAAAACGTAAGTGCAGCAGGCACCAGTGGATCACATCTGTCAGCCTAGCGAGCAGGAAGCTGAGATTGGGAGGATCAGTGTTCAAGGCCAGCCTGAGCAAAAAGTTTCCAAGACACCATCTCAACCAGTAGATGGGTGTGGTAGTTCATACCTGTTATCCCAGCTATGCAGGATGCATAAGTAAATAAGAGGATTACAATCCAGGTTGTCCTGGGGAAAAAGTGAGATCACATTTTAAAAATAAAGTGGTACTATGGCTCAAGCGGTAGAGCGCTCGCCTTGAGCTGAAGAGCACAAGGACAGCGCCCAAGCCCAGAGTTCAGGCCCCACAACCGACAACAACAACAACAACAAAAAATAGTGTCTGGGGGCTGGGAAGGTGGCTCAGTGGTAGAGTGCTTGCCTTGCAATGCATGAGGCCCTGGGTTCGATTTTCAGCACCACATAAGCAAAAAGAAAAAAAAAGCGGAAGTGGCGCTGTGGCTCAAGTGGTAGAGCGCTAGCCTTGAGCTGAAAAGCTGAGGGACAGCCCCCAGGCCCAGAGTTCAGGCCACACAACTGGACCCAAAAAAAAAAAAAATAGTGTCTGGAGATGTGGCTTAAACAGTAGAGTGCCTGCCCAGTAAGTGTGAGTCTTTTAAACCCCAATAACACCAAAAAAAAAAAATGAAAGGAGAGTAAAGGAGGGAGGGAGCAAGGAAGGAAGGGACAGGAGTGGGGGTCGGGGGAGACAGGCAGAAAGGCAGACTGGTGCCAATTGCTCACACCTATAATCCTAGCTACTCAGGAGGCTGAGATCTGAGGATCATAGTTTGAAGTAACCCTGGGCAGAAAAGTCCATGAGACTCTTATCTCCAATTAACCATTAAAAAAAGCCAGCAGTGGCCAGCACTGGTGGCTCCTGACTCTAACCCTACCTACTCAGGAGGTTGAGCTCTGAGGATCCTGTTGGAAGCCAGCAGGAAAGTCTGTGAGACTCTTATCTCCAAACTACCAAAGAAGCTAGAAATGAAGCTGTGGCTCAAGTGGTAGAGCACTAGCGTTGAACAAAAGAAGCTCAGGGACAATACCCAGGCCCTGAGTTCAAACCCCAAAGTCAACACAAAGAAAAAGAAAGAAAGACTGAATCAACTTCCAAAACACAAGTGCACTATAAACCCTGAATAAAATTGACTTCAGCCTGTGAATATATAGGCAATGGAAGTCTTTGGGTCCCATCCATAATGGAAAATCATTTTGGCTGTGCAAGTGTCTCAAAAGCTGAAAAAAAAAATCCAGACATTGCTGATTCTTTACATTTCAGATACAGGATACTCAGACCTGTGTTAGTGCTTTATTCCTTTGAGAATGAATGTGAACTCATTTTAATCCCTCTGAGAAAGCTACATGGGCTTTCTGTCCTTTATTTGGTTTAAATGAATTACTAAGTTACTTTTCCTCTTAATAGTTTTTCACAGGGGAAGAAAGGAGAATGGCCTTTAGGAGGCCATTTTGTTGTGAGGCCATTTTCAGGGAGTTTGAGTTGCCCAGGGAAGTGCCAAGTGGGCAGCCTCTTAGGCACTTGAATATTTAAAAGGAGTTGGTATAACCTAGGGTTAAGACAGGTCCTGGTCCTTGGCGGTGGATGTTTGTTAGTTAGATAGGGAAGGGTATACCAGGACTAGAAAGGCAGGAGGTAAAGGAACCCACAAATGATGAAGGAGGGAGCTGTGAGAGACCTGGGGAAACCCCAGATCAGGACAGGATCTGTCATGTTGTCTTGCTGCAGACCCAGACAAATGACTGAACTGCCATCATTTGGGTTTGTTGGTGGCCCCAGCAGCTGTGGCAAGTATTAGGAAAATGAAGGCTCACAGAGAATAGCAAAGTTGGAGATCATGAATGAGCAGTGGGGGGGTGGGGGAGGAGGTAAGAGAGGACTACTGTGTAGTCTAGCCATTGAGGATGAAACAGGACACATGTGGTTAGGAAGACATTATTTAATGGATCTATGTCTGGTACCTTCCACATTTGGGAAAACCTGGAGAAAGTCTTTAAGTGAAGTCCTGTTTCCATAAGTAACCTCCTCTCCCAGCTGTGGACTCCATAGACCAATTTCATCTTGCTTTGTCACATGACACATACAGAACAACAGACTAATTGGGGGCAAGCTTAAAATAGTTCTTAGAGACTACTGCTAGATTGTCCACTACCACTTCCCTGTAGAGTGATTATGTGTCACTTTGGAATGCTCCCGTGTGCCTTGCTTCTAGGGATTCTTGCTTGACAGGAGAATCCAGGACATGAATTATTCCCCAAAGGTATCTTGGAGTTGGGCTTTTCAGACCTGGGAGACCATCTTGTCCACCTTTCTCTTTGCAGAAGAGAAACTGAGGCCTCTCACCCTCTAGTTTTGGTGGTGTGTGGGAAGGAGATATTTAAAAGGATGAATTCTAAAATTCTAAATAGCTGGGGGAAGCTGGATAGGGGATATGGGTGACTTACTCCTATAATCCTAGCTACTTGTTAGGCTGAAATCCAGAGATAAAGGCTGAAGCTAGTCCGGCAGAAAACCTCTCCAGATCCTTACCTCCAAAAATAACTAGCAAAAATCTGGGCTGGAGGCTGTGGGTGTCTATAGCTTAAGTGGTAAAACTCCAGAGCAAGTGTGTGTGTGTGTTGTGGGAGGGGTGGTGGTGCTTAGTACCAGAAAAAGGGAAAACAAAATCTGAAGGAAAACAAAAGAAACGATGTAGAAATCTGATGCCATCCAAACCTTGGGTCTTGTTTGTTCCTATTTGTTTGTAGCTTTCTTATTAGCCTCCATCTTAGCTTCTTCTGCATTTCCATTTCCAACCTGGGATCCATCCTACACAGAGAAAAGCCTCTAAAATGTTAGCCATCTTCCTTCCTCCTTGAGCATGCTGGGTCCCAACACCTTAAACAGATTCCCTGTGTAGAAATGAACAGAGGCTGGGGATGCCTTTGCCAAGAAAGCAAAGATTCTGAATGTAACCTTGGATAGCGCCAAGAGCACTAACTTGGATGCTGATGGGTTCTAGGTTCCTTCGGACCAAGGGGACATGGCTTTGAAGATGATGAGGCTAGTGACTCAGCAGGAGTAGGAAGCCCTGGGCCAAGATGAGCTGCGCCGGGGGACACAGAAGTGGAGCTGAAGAGATGCTGTTGCTGTAGGAAGTTCACTCTTGCCTGCATCTAAGTGGGCTGGCATTGTGCGGGGCTCCTGCTGACTCTCACAGGGAGATAAGATCATGGCCTTGTGGGAGCTTGGACGTCATGTCTGCTTCTTAAAAAAAAAAAGTCTAAGTTTTTAAACTATGGGTATGTTTTCATCCAAACAAAGGGTTGTCATAGATTGATTTTTTTTTCCTATTGCAAAAGCAAATCAATCATGTGATTTATAAGAAAACAGTGGGCATAAACCAAAAACCAAATAAATTCCCATATACACCCTTCCTAGGGATAAACACTGTGGCTAACTAAATGTCTAGCCATGCAGGCCTTGCTTAGCTATGTATACATGTATATTTTTACAGAAATGGAACCATTCAGTATGTCATTTTAAGTGTCTACTTTGCTCATGTTGCAGTATGTCCTGAAAACCCTTTCATGTCAATAAATGTTCCTCTGTAAGATTTTTAATGGCTGTTAAGCACTCCATTTTGTGGTTATGCCATGAATTAGTTACTAAATGCCAAATACTTTTCCTTATTATTTCCTAGTTTGTTAACTGGGTTAACAATCAGCCACCAGAACCCAGCTCTTGCCACACTTTTTTGAAATTAAAATGAAGGTGAGTTCTGGTTGCTAATGCCTGTAATCTAATTCCTGGAGTCTGAGGTGTGTGGATCACAGTTTGAAGTCAGCCCAGGCAAGAAAGCCTATGAAACGCCTACCTCCAATTAACCACCAAAAAGCCAAAAATGGAACTGGTTCAAGTGACAAAGCACCAGCCTTGAATATAAAAGCTAAGGAATGGGGCTGGGAAGGTGGCTCAGTGGTAGAGCGCTTGCCTTGCATGCCTGAGGCCCTGGGTTCAATTCCTCAGCACCACATAAGCAAAAAGAAAAAAGCTGGAAGTGGCACTGTGGCTCAAGTGGTAGAGCACTAGC